ATTTTTTTCTGAAGATGGATCTTCACTACTATGAGTTTGGTGACATCTGACAGCTGATCATGAGCAAGACTTTCAGGACTGGGGCACCATCTATATGCACTCAAGGAAGTAAATGAGTACCCAGAGGTCAAAGTTGAGATCACATTTCATTTAGTCCTGGGTCCTAATTTACTAATTGGACCATCAAAAAGAACAAAAGAAAGCAATACAGAATACCAAATGCTGTACTTTATACTTTAATTTTTGTTGTTAATGGTTGTGGTTGTGGGGCCTGAACTCTGGGCCTGGGTGCTGTCTTTCAGCTCTTCAGCTCAAGGAGAGCGCTCTACCACTTGAGCCCCAGCGCCACTTCCAGTTTTCTGGTGGTTTACTAGAGATAAGAGTTTCACGGCCTTTCCTGCCCGGGCTGGCTTTGAACTGTGATCCTCAGATCTCAGCCTCCTGAGTAGCTAGGATGACAGGCGTGAGCCACCGGCGGCCGGCTGATTTTTTTTTAAGTTTCCACATCTGTTCGAGTGCTCATATAAATACTGGAAGGAAGGCATCACTTTGGCTCTACCTTCAGTGAAGAGAACATCAGAACCACACGAGTGAGTCATCTAGCTAAAATAAAGAGAAAGGCAGCAGGTCTAGGTGTTAAGGAAAGGTTCCATCACTGCTAATCCAATGAGCAAAATAAAGAACAAAAGGGGGTAATTGAATTGTCCTCTGCTTTTCGTACAGGTGAAAGACGATGGGAAGATGCAACATCACTTTGGGACAGAGCTTAATTTTGGTGGGCTTCTCGGACTGGCCTCGTTCTTTCCCGACTAGACCCTCGACTGCGCACGCCCATGTACTTCTTCCTCTCCCAACTCGCCTTCCTGGATCTCTGCTTCACCACCAGCATTGTGCCCCAGCTTCTGGTGAATCTTTCTGGACTTGACCGGACCATCAGCTATGGATGGTGTGTGGCCCAGCTCTCCATTGGCCTCACGCTGGGTGGAACTGAGTGTGTGCTCCTGGTGGTGATGGCCTTCGACCGCTATGCCGCTGTGTGCCATCCACTCCACTACATGACCATTATGCATCCCCGTCTCCTGGGTGGGAGGCCTGGTGAACTCTCTGGTTCAGACAGGTCTTCTGATGGTCATGCCTCTCTGTAGCCATTGTCCAAATCACTTCTTCTGTGAGATGCCTGTTTTCATGAGTTGGCTTGTGAGGATACAAGAGGAACAGAGTCATATATGTTCATTGCTGGTGCTGTAATCTTGGTCTTTTCTGTATCACTGATTCTAGGTTCCTATGCACACATTGCCAGGGCTGTGCTGAAGGTCAAGTCAATGGCTGGACGCAGGAAGGCTTTTGGTACTTGTGGATCTCACCTCCTAGTGGTTTGTCTGTTTTATGGCTCAGCCATCTACACATACCTCCAACCCAAGGGCAGTTATTCCGAGACTGAGGGGAAGTTTGTGGCTCTTCTTTATACCATAATCACCCCCATGCTCAACCCTTTGATTTATACTCTGAGGAACAAGGATGTGAAAGGGGCTCTGTGGATGGTATTAGGAAGAAAGTTGAGTTAGGTGCTGAAATACGAGAACATCTCTGAAAGAAAAATAGGATTCTGTAAACTGATTAAGTATAATGATAAAAAGAGAAGATTGCAAAATGTTAAGAAAAGCAAGTCGAAATTCTGGCTTTTCCTTTGAGATACTTATATCATATTTTGTAATTTGTAGTGAACACATATAATTGTATTTATTGTAAAGGAGAGTGAGGTTCTGTGAATTCTTAGGTGTGCTTTTTTTTTTTTATAAATCTAAAGACCAAATAATACCAGAAAAAAAACAATCAAAGATTTATTACATTTGAATATACATTGAGATCTTTACAAAAGAGTGAATTCCATATGAAAATAGCATGGCAATGTGTTTTTCTACTTTTTATGGAAAGAACAATACATTTGCAAGGAAATGGTAGGACAAATAGATCTATGGCCTAGGATAGTAAATTAAAGGGATATCAAAACAGACATAAAAGCTAGCGTGGTAGTCTTCCTAAAGACAGAATTTGTTCTGTGTGGATATCTGACAGGATGAGGATCAACGTAGGGAAAGGTAAGGAATTACACACAGTAAACTCGCTAGAGCAAGTAAGAAGGTATGTTCATGGAATACCAAGTACATCACTTTGGTTAACACAGCCTAAAGGGAATAGCAAATAGAGGAATGGAAAGCTGATTTTGGAGAGCCAATCAGTAATTTATAATTGCCACATGATGGCTCTCTGGGGTCTCTAAGGACATACTTGGTAAACAACTATCCTTACATTGCTTTAGGGAAGAATTATCAATGCCCATATGCAAAACTGGTGTGCTCAGTCTTAGGGTCAGGAGGTGTTTTAATGATGCAGCAGCTCAGACTTAGGGACAGGTAGAGAGAGGTCTGATAATAAACTAGCTGATGATAAGTTGATCAGGGCAAGCTACAGAAGAAGATCCATGAGGAGGATGTTCCCACCTCCAACAGTATGAGCTTCAGACATCTCTGCAGGTAATGCCACATGCTATCATAACTTCTCACGGACAGAGCAAGACCTCAATCGAATATAAAGGTGTCTTCTGCAGACATCTATAAATATCACCGGTCTCCTATTGGCCTCCTATTTCCTTTAAAGCAACTAGAATTGGCAGAGTTAAAAGAGGCAGTTTTCTTTCTTTGAATTCCAGGTGAGTACTGACTGAGTCACTCTGGCTCCGCAGTTAAGGTCTAGACAAGAAATATTCTGGCATGAAATTTCCATTGGGGTCCCTTGTATTGAGGCCCCAGTGAGTAACGGTGAGTTCATACAAAACACGTTTATCACAGACTCCAACTCTATATCATTTCTCCACCCGCTCTCTACTCCACACACCACACCTCAAAAAACATCTCTCTCCAAGTTCATAAACGTAGGAAAACAAGTCATTCGGATGTAAACCAGGAAAGCTGACTTAAAATCATTTTGAAGCTCCTTCCAAACTCAAATCCTATGATGCCAAGACCACAATAAACAAAGTAAACTGTAGGCATCAGAGCTAGGAGACACAGAAGAGGGGCATGGCCAGAGCTGTGGAAATATATCAATAAACTTTTTTTTTTTGAGGAATACACGATAGAAGGGAACCCAGAAGGAGATGTTATGTGTGACCAGTCAGTGAAAACAAGCTATTTGTATTCATAAACTCATTTACTCATAAAAAAAAACCAAGCTGTTAATTTGAATGTCAGCCAAGCTGACTAAAATCAGTCTCTGATCATTTGCTCTTGTACTGGAGAATGTGCTCAGTCATTAAATAGAAGAGGTTGCAGATCACCCCCAAATATTTGTGGGATCTGACTGAAGTGAAGGTGGTGAGTCTGAGTGAGTCTGTAGAAGAGCAAGTGGTGATGGAGACAGGTAGAAGGATGCTTTGGTACCTAATTAAGTTCAACAGGTAGATTAATCTCCTTAGCAGTAATAAAGGAGCTATACCTGTATGTATAACTGGAGGAAATGAAACTCGATTCAACTTGAGAATATACAAAGGAACAATGGTATATGGAAGGAAGCTGTGTATCCTCTTCTTATGCCCAGCTAGACTATTAAATTCTATTATTAGAATATGGCTACACTGTAGACTGACAATACCATTAAATCAGGGGATATAGCACAGGATATAGCACTACATGCTGTTGGAAAAATAGTAAAACATGATTTCTGATCAACAAGTATATATTTATGAAGATGATGCATCCACACCTAGACAGAAGAATGGTTTTAAAAAACTATAATCAATAATCTTTATAATGTAGAAAACTAAATAAACCAAATATGTAAATGTCAAAATACTGTCTGTACCAAGCAACAAGGTGGCGGCTGTTTATTGTGTGTGCTCCTTAGTCAGCCTTCCTTGCTTGCCACCATGCACTAGACCAATGCCTAAGCCAGTGTGACCACGGTCAAAGCCTACCTGAGTTATAAGAACTAGGAATGTATGGGATCTACCTATACGTGCTTCCTGTGGACAGTACGCCATAATTGCTCCTTAAGAATGGAAGTGTTTCCCTTGGAGGTTTGCTATGATTTAGACCCTTGCTGGGAAGAATGAAGAAAAGCTGTGTGAGCTATTGTAAAGGTGTCATAAGCACAGCAGCGTGTTGCTGACGAAGGGTGCAGAGCAAGGGACACAAGGGAGCTGTACGGAAGTGTCTGCACTGAACTCTGCTGTACTGAGCTGTAGTGAAGTGGTCGCTCACATCCCTTCCGGGTCAGGTTTAAAGCCAATGTTCAGCTGGGCCTGGGTGGTTCTGGGGATCAAACGATTAGCACTCGTACCCTGGGGACATTAGAAGGCCGGACACTTCGCAACACTAGGCACTCACCATTTGTCACACAGATGTTTAATTCCTGCATAGTGTCATAATGACACTTTTTCTTGCAGGGCTAGAAAAAAAATAAAAACTTCAACCAAGAGGCTACCGGGTCTTAAGACTCTGTCTTTGTAGAACATTCATCAAGTGCAAAATCTATTGGATTGTTTTCTACCATAAATCTCATAATGTATTTTGGTTGTGATAATTAGGGGCTGCAATCAGATGGGTGAAAGCTTCCTTTGTGTAGAACCAAGTTGATCCACTACAATATTTTGCTTCCCTACCCAAAAACTGTATTTTGGGAAATCAGTTTCCACATTATAACCCTGGTGTTTTAGTCTCATTAGTGTGAGGAGGGCAGTACATTATCTCTACTTTCAAACAAGGGAGCATATACATCCAAAGAACTGAGTGGCCTGTATAATATCATGAAACAAATAGACAGAAGGTCTTCAAGCAGGGTTCAGTCATAAGCTATACTACTCTCAATCTAGTAAGCTCATCATCAGAGAAGTAAAACATACCGCTAAGGGGTAATTAGGAGATAAAACAATGTAAGATTTGTAAATCTCATCCTCCATAGGAGGTATTGAATTGTCTTGTTACTCCTGCAGGTGAAAGGTCATGGGAAGACTCAACACCAGTTTAGATAATGGCTTCATTTTGGTGGCCTTCTCAGATTGGCCTCAACTGGAATTTCTCTTTTTTGTCTTCATTTCCATTTTTTACTCCCTAACTCTCTTTGGCAACACCACCATCATCATTCTCTCTCGAGCAGACCTTCGGCTGCGCACGCCCATGTACTTCTTCCTCTCCCACCTCTCCTTTCTGGATCTCTGCTACACCACCAGCACTGTGCCCCAGCTGCTGGTGAATCTTTCTGGACTTGACAAGACCATCAGCTATGGACGGTGTATAGCCCAGCTTATCATATTTCTCTCCTTGGGTGGAACTGAGTGCATGCTGCTGGTGGTGATGGCCTTTGACCGCTACGCTGCTGTGTGCCGTCCGCTCCACTACGCGACCATCATGCACCCTGTCCTCTGCCAGACACTGGCTGCTGTTTCCTGGGTGGGAGGCATCGTGAACTCTCTGATTCAGACCAGCCTCATGATGGCCATGCCTCTCTGTGGCCATCGCCTGAATCACTTTATCTGCGAGCTGCCTGTTCTCCTGAAGCTGGCTTGTGAGGACACAGGAGGAACAGAGGCCAAGATGTTTGTGGCTCGAGTCATAATGATTGCCATGCCTGCAGCCTTAATTCTAGGCTCCTATGCACACATTGCCCGGGCAATGGTGAAGGTCAAGTCAACAGCTGGACGGAAAAAGGCTTTTGGGACTTGTGGGTCCCATCTTGTGGTGGTGTCTCTTTTTTATGGTTCAGCCATGTACATATACTTACAACCCAAGGAGAGTTACTCTGAGAGTGAGGGGAAGTTTGTTGCCCTTTTTTATACTATAATTACTCCCATGCTCAATCCTCTGATTTACACTCTGAGAAACAAGGATGTGAAGGGGACTCTGTGGAAGGTGCTAAGGAGAGGCAAAGCTGTGGGGTAGGAGGAGGAAGGAAGATCAGTAAATTTTCTGTCCTGGCTCTTATCCTGGAGTCCATCCTATTCTGCAGCTCTGTGAGTCACTTGAAGACAACCCTTGATAGACCTCAGGATTTTGATGCCTTCCTCTTTTGACAACTGGATGTGAAGATCTCTAAAAATGCTTTCTAGTTCAGTGTTTATTGTTCAGGACAAAGTCAGATCTGACTTAGACTACAACTCGTGAAGAAGTGATGTATTTAAGGAGAAAGAATAAATGAGAGTAACACAAGTGAAAAATGAGACAGAGAAATCCCTGCAGGGAAAAGGCTTGGGAAACCCAAGTAACACCAAGCCAAACTGGGGAGATGGTTGAGTCTCCACACTCCACCATCATCATTTGTTTTTGGAGGGTCTGTGTTCACAGACTCATGCTTGCTAGGCAAGCGCTCTACCATTTGAGCCAAGCCTACAGCCCTTTTCGCTTTAGGTTATTTCTTAAGTACGATCTTGCTTTTATCCAGAGCTAACCAAAATGTTCCTGATTTCATCTTCCCATAACTTGGATAATGGATAATGCACCAACACATGGAGGACAGTTTCAGACACAGGATCTCACTAACGTTTTTGCCCAGGCTGATGTCAAACCATCTTTCCCATCTCTCATCCTATATAGCTGGGATTACAGGTAAGTACCACCAAATCTGGTCCACTGTCACTTCTTTCCATGTACATGAATGATGGCTTCAAATAGAAGCAGAATCAATATGACCCAGCAATCCTTATAATACTATAATCCTATTACACTCAAAGGAAATATAATCAGTGCGTAAAGAGACAGTAGCATTTGAGTGTTTCTAACAGCCTTTCCACCTATATAAGATCAAAAAACTAACCTAAATGTCCATCAGTAAGTGAATAAAGATGTTTATAGTGTGTCACTATTAGATACAATCTTTTGTACATGACTGGTTAGATCTAGTTGGCCTAAATAATTATTTAAACATAATATACCCTCATGTCTACTCCGTGTGGATGACCTGTCACTTGCTGAAAATGGCATACTGAATTGCCCACAGTTACTGTAGCATAATGTATCTCATTAATATTTTATGTATTTATTTAGGTGCTTATTAATATTTTGTGAATCTACTGAGGTGCTGATATAAGAGATTATACGCACAGAAAACACAGGCCTCTGTCTTATACTAACAGGTCAAACTTATACAAGGCATAAAAGGAACATTATAAAACTTTCAAAAGCACAGACCAGAGTTTTACAGTGTTATCTTGAAGACACATTGTCACATTTTATAATTTGTAATTGTACATATCACAAAAGATAGAGAAATTCTCGACACCAAGCCTTAGAGCTCTGTGTGAACCCTTTGGTGGAGTCTATTAACCTAATTAACATATGGTAGAGGTAAGAGAAAAGCATCCAAGTTTTATTATATACTTGGGGACTTTATAAGACTTCCAGAGAAAATCTACAAGGAAAGATTTTTTTTTCTAATTTTTAGATAAAGGAAAATAAACTTCTAAAAACTGACAGGGCAAAGGGCCTTCTGCATTAGCAAATTAAATTCTGGAATACCAAAAAGGAAAATACAAGGAAGGTTTAAATCTAGTGCAAGGTAAGAGTTTCACAGGTTTCTCATGCTGCTGTTAACTGGGAATGTGAGGGAAAACTGCGCCAGGTGGCACAGTACAGACCAGGGAGCACCAGGGGCTAGAGCTGGCAACACTGACTGGAAAGAAATTTCCCAGTGACTTAGAGGGAGAGGGAGAGTCCTACAGGACATGCTCTTGCTTGTATCTTAATAAAAACCCTTGTTCAAACTTCGTCCTGCATGATGACTTCCATGGGACTTTTTAAATGATTACAATTCATGTGCACCATTTGATCACGCTAGTGTTCTAAAAAGCTATGTGTGTGATCTTTATGTATAAATTGCACTATAATACAATAGATTTTTAAAGGAAAGGATTATGAGTTCAAGACAATATTTTCTTACCTTCTGAGTCCCAAGGTAAGAAAAATGATGGATAATACACTGAATCTCATAGGAGAATAAATAGGGCCAGTTAGAGGAATTAACAGAGGTGGGCAAGAGTCAGAAATTGTAAGTGATTCTTTTTTTTTGGGGGGGGGGCCTGAACTCTGGGCCTGGGCACTGTCCCTCAGCTCTTCAGCTCAAGGCTAGCGCTCTACCACTTGAACCACAGAGCCACATCTGGCTTTTTTTCTTTTTGCTTATGTGGTGCTGGGGAATTGAACCCAGGGCCTCATGCGTGCAAAGTAAGAGCTCTACCACTGAGCCACCTTCCCAGCCCCATAAGTGATTCTTTTGGAGATAGTGATTTCTCCTTTTCAAAGGCTTTAAAAGGGTATGGTTTACCTATAAACCAGGTAAGGGCCTCTGTTGCTTTCACTGTGGATCATAGTGAGTTGGAGGGCAAAGAAAGAGAAAACAATAGAGAGGGTTATTTGGATCAAAGCAAAGTATATGCATGTCTGAAACAGTGGGACAAGACATCTTGATACAATTAATACACACCAAAAATGGATGGCAGGAAAATAAAACAGTCTCTGAAGGGTGGTGGTACCAGAGGGAAAAGAGAAGGCTAACAGAGGGTGAATGTGGATGAATATGGTTGAAGTTGCTTATCTGCATGTTTGAAAAATAGCATTAGAAGGGGCTGGGAAGGTGGCTCAGTGGTAGAGCGCTTGCTTTGCATGCCTGAGGCCCTGGGTTCGATTCCTCAGCACCACATAGGCAAAAAGAAAAAAAGCCAGAAGTGGCGCTGTGGCTCAAGTGGTAGAGCGCTAGCCTTGAGCTGAAGAGCTGAGGGACAGCACCCAGGCCCAGGGTTCAGGTCCCATGACCGGACCCCAAAAAAAAAATTTTAAAAAAAGAAAAATAGCATTAGAAAATGGCATGTGAGAAGAGTCTGGCATTTGTCAATAAAGGAGTTAAGTGTTACTAACCTCCAAAGCCTCAGATAATTAAAGAAAAAAGTAAACTTTCAGAAAGGTGCTTACAACAAAGCACTATTCGTAGCAGGACTATTAACAGTATTTTACAGTGACCTAAAAATGTTTAACTATTGTCCCAGGGCCCCAGGACAGGTGGGTCCCTGCCACTGTTTCATATTTACCTTCTCTGCTTTTATTATAGATATTCTGTTTATTTTTCCTTAAAGTTATAAGAATCCACATATACACAGATAGAAATCCATCACAAATCTCTCATAGCAAATTATTCCAAATAGCCAGAGGATAAAACAATCCAAAGGTCCATCAATAAAGAGATGGATAGAGAAAACATGACATAGCCACAAAATACGAGTTACCTGATATGAAAAAGAAAGATGTGCTGAAACATGTTATTACATGGATGAACCCTGAAAAGAAGTATGCTAAGGAAAGCAGCATACACACAAAAGATCACAGGTGAAAGAGCCTCTTAATCCCAGCGAGAATGCATCAGTTCTTATCTGAAGCAAGTGAGCAGACATCACAAAAGGGCATCAGATATGTTTTAGAAAATAACAATATTCTAAAATGATTGAAATGCACTTCCGCAAATACCAAAAAAAATTACATTGTGTATTTTAATATATTGTTCGATGTGGGACTTCTATCTCAATTAAAGCAGTAGACAATGATAACTCCAACTGAAGTTATTCTAGGTTTAATTGGGTTAATGGATGCCAGACTTCCAACAAGTGTATCTGGGTATCATGAGTGCTACATGCAGTGTGACTATCAGTTTTTCCCTCCGTGGAACAATTCATCTAAGAGGACTTTCCTCGTCCTCTTGTAAAGTGACAGTCCTTCATGATCACACGTAAGATCATCTTCCCTAATAATTATATCATTAATGTAACTAATAGTATCAATTATATGTAAGTCAATCTGAATAAAGTAACAGGGTTTTAAATACTTGTAATGTTTCCCATAATCATTTTAAGATGAAAGGATATAATCTAGTACTTACAATTTTAAATGTAATAATTTCAGGCAACATCTGTCTATCCCTTAGAATGGAGAGTCCTTTGGGGTCATAGGTTACATTTTCCAGAGTTTTACAAAGAGGAAACATTGGATAAATGATTATATTTAAATAAAGCTACTGACTGTCTACTAACACTAAATGCCTCACATGCATTATATTATTAATCCACAAACATTGTAATGGATACAGCATGGTAATATCACCTATTAATGGGGAAACTGAGGTTCAAGCACGTCATGAATGCCTTCAAAATTCCATCTGTTCTATGGCATAGCGACTTTTTAACATAACCCTATAATTCCCAAACTGGACACATATTGAAGAGCCTGAGGCCTGAGTGACTCCATCTTGAGCTAGCAGTCATCTTCTGAAGTATGAGTTATACAGCTGACCATGAGCCCGGCCTGGGAATGAACAGAAGAAGCAATTCTCTGGTGACTAGAAACATAAACAATCCTTGAGGAAACAGCAGGCAGGCAGGTGCTGGAGGCCATGGTGACCCCCCCCCACCCCTGCAGTCAGGCCACAGGTGGTGTTTAAGAAAGGAACCCTACAGTTTAGCGAGTATCTCCTTGAGACTCCCTATGGTACAAGCCAACCAGTTTAAAGTACATCAGCCTCTGATCTAACCAACAACCTGTTTCTGCTTTGTAGTGCGCCAATCATACTATAGAATTGTATTGTGATTTTCCCGCGATGTGTAATAATTTGTTGTAAGATGCTATGATGTATACAAAGTCCCTGCCTTCCCTAAAAAGTGTATAAAAAGTACTATAACCCTGGGCTCGGGGCCTCTTAGCATCACAGGTTACCGAGTGCACGGAGGACCAAGCTCGAGCTTGCAATAAAGGCTGCTTTGCTTTTACATTGGTGACGATCTCTGGTGGTTTTTTGGGTAAGGATTTCAGAATTCAGCTTTACAATATGATTTTAAATTTTGACATATTTTTAACTTGTTTTGGACAGGGTCTTGGCTTGTAGTCCAGTATAACCTCAGCTCCAT